CTTCTTATTCAATCCGAGATTAAAGCTGCGTCTGCTGTTTCTGCTCTATGAAATGACACATCATTTATGACCGTAATGACATTTCCGTTTCCTAAATTATCACTGCACCGACTAATACGGGCCGATAAGATGTGTTCTTCAGTTAAGCCTGTTATTCATGACGTATCCCAAACCTCCTTGTTCTTTCCCAAATTTTCTCCTGATCCCATTACGCTATGTTATTGATATCACGAAAACTCAGTGATCTTTTTTGCTGCTTATTTGCATATGAAAGCAAGTTAGTATACATAAATATATCGTTTATCAACGCTATTGTAAACCTATAAAGAGAAGTGCGCTTGAAATGTCTGTGCTATGCTGTTGTGCGTTCTACTAAACTTTTTTATTTTATCGGAATATGTAGCAAGGACCTTTAGCGGGCTATTATTATTAAAATTCACAAAATTTTGAAAAAATTTTTGTTTGTGCTTAATCAATTGAGAATTTTACCGAGACCGAAAATAAATCACATGACATAGCAGTGAGGCCGAGTGCCTTCAGCCTAACATACTTTATACGCAAGGGTCCAATTTCAATTTTCGTGCGGGTATTTCCATTTCTATTCAAGAAAACTTAGCTTTAATTATTCCCTCTTCGATGACTAGTTTCATGTATGTTATGAATTTTATTGTCAAATTTTCACTGTCCCATAACTTTATGAGATAATGAATATCGGATAATGAATAAATATTTCAATAAATGTTCACAATCATAATGCGGAGAATATCTTGAAAGAAAAAAAAGGGGAGGGGGTGTTAAAACACAAATGATTTTAAGAAGGCATATTGTGAAACATGAAAAACGTTGAAAGCAATTGCTTTTTCATTCAAAGTTATAAATCCATTTGATAGCAACGGGTTCTAAAATTAATTTCTGGGGCACCTTACAAGTATGAAGAAGTAAATTCTATTTGGAAAAGGGATTGAAGTTGAGTAGTCCTTTTACGGTATCGATAGCGCCATTCACTGTTGTTTTTGCCTTCTCCACAACTTCCGTTAACCCAAGCTGTGCCACAATGCCTAAATATGAAAAAAAATCAGGAAGCGATATCAGTTCATGTATTTACGGTAAAAAAAGAATGTTTTATTCATCTAAGAACGAAATGCGCATACTATCTTCCTCTTGCTGCTGCTCGATAGCAACTTGTTCCGGCGTTTTTCGATTTCCCATTATCCTGCCTTTGACGGGTTCGTTCTCTTCATCTTTCTTTTTGAGGTTGTACTATAAAGTGGAAGGTTTAGCTGTTACAGCCACGATTTGCTTGATTGTGTTTCGAATTATCACAATGACTTAAATACTGACGACTGCTGCGTCTTCAGCTGCTTTCCATATTAAGATAAATCGAGCTTGGCTTCTACCTGCTTATGTGCTCATCATCCACATTTGATAATGAGGATTATCGACTATTATCGGCTGGGTGATACGCAATATTTTCATTATTTGCGTT